CAACACTGAATATGATGTTACATAATTTATCTCTTCAGATAAGGTTCAGAAAAATGGTTATGAGCCTAATCAAGGGGATCCATTGCAAATGAACAGAGAACGGGACTGGACATAGCATTAGGAACATATGGACATGGTAAAACACTGCCCTGCTTAATAACCAAAAACCATTCACATCACACCCTGAAGACATTATCAAGACACTGGACTAAGAAGAAAATAGATCTAAGATAATCACAGGTTAATTGAGCTACTTGTGAGAATATCATCTTCACCAGCATCCATGAAACAACAACATCTTCAAATTTTGGAACCTTCAGATACAAGCCAGACTTAACATAGGCATGATTAAAGTTATAGTAATCAGTAGTGTGGAGGCTGAAAAAAAGATTGAAGTTGATTAAACAGAACTTTAAAAGTCAACAGCTATGTCTATCATTGTCAAATCAACACACATAAATACCTTAAGGGGAAAATGAAAAGCTGAGACAAGATGAGATGGAGTATATTACAAAAGGAAAAGTACAATACTGAAAGAAAATGTTGCCATTAGTCACAGGGGAAAAGCCTTCAAGCCATCAGTTATTAAAAGCAAAAATCAGAAACTATGAATTCCAAAACAGCACAAATACTTGTGACTGGTAAAACAAGAGAAGACAGAAATAGATGTATCAGTGAGCAATGAACACTATTTAAAAAGTGAAAACATTAACATAGTAATAAGTCATTCGAACTGCAAGAAGAATAGAGCAGTGAGGGATTAAATGGGCAAAGTTCCCAAGAGACAGAGAAATGACTGGGAAAAATAGGTCAAAAGCTTTGCTGAAGTAAGCTGGAAAAAGAAAATGGGAAAAAAAGGACATGCAAGGGAATCTTCGGGACACCAACATCCAGTGGTGGGTATGGAAAGACTAGACATTAATGGAAAGAAAATAAAATCCACAAAAAAGAAACAAATGGTTTCTAATAGTCTGATTTAACAATTTCAATGTACAAGCAATTAATAAAGTCTGTTTTTTCCTCACTGTTTGCATTTAAGTGATTAAAAATGAAATCATAATAAGCTAACCCTGATAACTGCAACACGTTTACAGAGGTCACAAGAAGATTATCTTTTTATGCAGACCTTTTATTGAACTGACAAGCCAAAGGTAAATCTATTATTCTCTTTCACATTTTTTCATCAACAGAGTCGATCAACTAGTTTTCTACTATGAAAGTTACAAACACTTAGCAGGGCCTTTCATAAGAAACTGCAACACAAAATGTATATACAGTAACAAATTGTATTAATTGTATTGACACAACAGACAGATATTGAATAGGGCTTAAGTCCGTTAAGTATGGTAGCCTTGGTACAAACATCCAACAATGACTTTGCAAGAATTCAGATCATACACGAGCAGCCTAAGGTCACGCATTATCCTGCTGGAATGTTGTTCTGTCAGGATGTTAATGTAATGCTGTGGGGTCAGGCTGCCATCTACCTCTACAATTTGAGTTCTGTAGTGACTTGAAACTCCTACCCTGACCATTATATCAACACATCCACACTGATTTGTCTGTTGTACACAAAAAATATAGACCCGTTTCACAAATCTGCACCACGCTCATTGACAACCATCAGGGTGGTCCAAAGTAACCTTGAATCTTTCTAAAGAGGACTTTGCTACACAGCTGGACAGTCCTCTTAAGGTGACCTAGTCCAACCTACAATATACCAGAGGCGCAAAGACACTGTGGTCTTGGTAAACAAGCAAAGTTATTCCTTTCTGGTATTTCACCAGATTTAAATTACCTTATCATCTGTGCCCCGTCAGTTTCTATTTTAATATTTTTTACAACTGAGATGATTTAGTGCTCATGTAACAGTCAAAGTCACTTGAGTATATTACAAATGTGAATAAAAAATAATCAAAAAGATGCAAATAACATTGTATATTTTAACATTAACGGTGTATATTTTATTTACACAGATGCATATAAATCTATACATTTCTTTTGATGATCAGTACTGTATATATATATTACACTTTTATTAATGATGGCAATTTTAGAATATTAGAAATTAAATACAGTACTATAATTAGATTCAAATTTAAATTGTCTTGTATAGATAAACTTAAAAGTGGTGTTAGTGGCTTCCTGTACTATTTTCAGTCAATAAATGTCTCTTGAAAGTGACAAAATTCACGAGTATATATATATAACAAGAAGAACAATACCTGTGAAATGAAATCCAAAAGTTTTTGGGCCAGGCTCTCCTGATCTGTTAAGGCATCTGGATCGACATCCATCAGTTCACCCCAGTCAATTTTTAAAGGCATCTTAAAAGCTGTGTGGTTCCAATCTAGGAAAACATGTTTGTATTTTAAGCTATATCAAAACAACAGTAGCAAAAGTAACCGCTTAAAGGTTTGTAAAAACGAATCCCCTAAAGGTATGTAGATATCTCAAAAGAGCAGGAATGCTAGTTTTATTATGAAATGGACATTTGTGGTTGCACGTTGCAGGAAAAAAAAAAGGTACATGGAAACCTATTTGGAGGGTTATATGAATGATCGTTTTTATAATCTTCTCAGCACACAATAATTAATCCATGCAACATCCAATACTGTGCATCATGATTTTATGAACTCCTGTCATGCAGCCTTCACTATAGGTACTGTAAATTATGTATCGCTTAATAAAAAAAGCAGTCCGGTTTATAACAGTAACGAACAGTACCTAACAGGAGGAACAGAATGCACTTAAACATAAAAGACTAAAAAGTCCACTGCTCAAGGGGTTCAATAGCAGGGATGTATCTACTGTATCTAGTTCCCGTTATGTACTCAATAAACAAGCTGATCATCATAACCAATTCCAAGTCAGGAGCAACCCCATAAAGATTAAAAGGTATTGTGGGTGGTAGACATAAAGTTGAAAAGGGTCAGAAAACAGGAAAGCATATTAAAATTTGTGATTTATTAATCATTTTACTAAGAGAAATTTCCCATATGCAACCACGAAACCGTAGCACGACTATTGTTATCAAAACCTGCATGATTTTCAAAAGCAATGCAAGGTAAAAACAATATAATTTATTACTCAAGCCTTCCGACTTTACTAACGACAGGTGTTAAGATACAGTACACTCGCTTCTTTTTCATGAATACAAAATCAAACATCTTTAATTTAAAGTTTAAACCTCATATTATGTCTCCCAGAATATGTTGTGCTGCGATGCTTTCTGTTGCTGCTAGGCTACGACTTCAAACAGTCGAAAATCCAGCACCGCTTTACGGCAGGGAGACGCAAAAATTGCAGTAAAGTTTAAATTAATTCCTGACCGTCCCCCCAGAGCAGCGATTTGAAGTTCTTAGAGAGGAAAAAGAAAAATAACAGAGAAGGAGAGTCTTGAAAAATTCTCAGACAACGTTGTCTTTATTTCTAATCTTACTTAGGGTACGAAACGACAGGGTGAACTTACACAAATGAAAAAAAAATAAATAAAAGGGAAATATCTTTGAACCAGACGCTTATGGAGGGGAAATACGTGTAGACTCAAATTCTTCCAATCGTTGCTCAGGTGACGTCAGGATGAGCCAATCATGGTTTGGGAGACGGTTGGTCTGGGACTCTCATGGATTCTCATGCGAAACCCAGTATAAGGAGCATTGCAATGTAATTCAACGCGAATTATATGTATGTATATTTAATGTTATAACGTAAGGGACATCAGTGGAAGCATTTCTTTTATTATTTGCATTAATTTGATATAATTTCCTGTGGGGAGTTAAAACAATTATTCAAAATATTAAAACAATTGCGTTAATTTCATACTACATTTACTGATAAAAGATTTTTCCCTGCATTATAACTGCATTATTTTACTGTCTGTTAACAAGTCGAAAAGCAAGTAATGACTGAAATACAGGAAATTAAAGAAAGCTTTCTAATATAAACATTCCTCGTTTTTAATTTCAGGCCGCTCCTTTAAGAATCCCCCGTTTCCGCCCCGGAAATGAAGGAAGAAATATGTTACCTGTAGTAACATATTGAACAGGAATGCTATGTACAGTTAAATAAAATAGTGTGTTTCGTTATAGTTTAGCGTCGAGCATGACAAAGCGGTAAGGATGTGATGAATGCCGCTGTAGTCGTAGAGTTTTTGAAGTGTTTGAGAAATAGAAAAAAAAGCTTAGTGTTTTTCCCTAGAATTTCTTCAGTAAGTACAGCTTTTATTCACGTTAGAGAAGTCCGTCGGCCTCATATAACACATTTTGCCTACTACGAAATATAATCTAATACAGCGGCGGTTGTCATTCGTAGGTAGAAATGGTTTAATTATATAAGTTTGTGTAGTATTTTTTTTTTAATTTTGCGATTGTTAAGCATCCGCTGCGAATACATATTGAATAAATCAATGCAAGGCATTCAATACGCGGTCCCTTGATAGATTAGTGACTTCTTAAAAATAAATATTTATATACTTTTAAAATTTCAAAACCTATATTTCAGAAAATGTGGTCATTTAGATTTTTCTCAGTTATTTAATACTTATAATGAATACTCAGCGACCTTTTGTTAAAATACGAGGGTTCCTGATTAATTGATTACGCAAACTAGGATATTCTGGACATGTTTTAATGTTTTCGTTTAGAGAGACTTTGATGGACTACTGTAGCTTTTAGGCTGATACTGTACAATATTCTCTTTGTTAGAAAAACAAAAACATTGAGAACATTTAAAAATACTTTTAGTGTCGGATTTGTGTTAGCCAGACTCTCTTGGAGCCTACAGGTTTTATGGGTGGTATGGAAAGGAGCAGAATACAATTGGCGTTGGCAGACATAACATGCTACCATGTGCTGACAATTTAGTTTTTTCTTCACAGACTCCCATGGCCTAGTTCACACCCTCCAAAGCATTTAATCTCTGCCAGTGGCTATCAGTTAACTTTTTTTTATTCTATTATAATGTCAATGCATTATTTGTTTTATTGGAAAGAGAATGTTGTGAATTGAAATCTTATCTGTTGGGTTGTATTGGTTGTTTTGCAGTAACCAATGAACTTTTTGGTAGATGATGGCTGCAATGACTTGGAAGGAAATTGCACTGTTGGCCGGAGTAGTTGTGGCCTGTTACTGGAACAGCCTGTTCTGCGGATTTGTCTTTGACGATGTCTCCGCTATTCTGGATAACAAGGACCTGCGGCCCACAACTCCACTCCAAAATCTTTTTCTCAATGACTTTTGGGGAACTCCTATGTCAGAGGTAGGTCACTTATAAGTTCTCCAAGAATTTTGCCCTCACATATTTACCATTATAGTAAGTTTTGCTTTGATCGTGCTTCTCAGATTTTTACCAAGCTCCAAAACCTAAAATCCAAAACCCTGGTTTGGTGGAAGTAAATATGGAAATCTTAAAATAGTGGTTTCTGAGACATCTTAGTGTATAAAACTGAACCTACAAACATTATATGCACTCTGCACTTCAAAAATGTTTGGTTTATGTTTCATTTAAACTGAAATTAATTTCCTTACAGAATAGATTAAATTTAAGAGTGTCTTTTCCAATTGAGCTTTCAAAACGTATATTAAAACAGTATTTGAAAACTTTCTTTCAATACTGTTGTAGTACATTTGGGTTGGAGATTTAGATTAGTGAAGTTCAATTCCTCTGACTTTTGCAGATTTTTGAAAGTTGTAAGACGTATTGATTCAATATACTTCTTTAATTCATTAACATGCATTTTGTTTTGGTTCAAAATTGTAGTTATTATTTTGATAATCAAAGCTTCAAGGGCACATTATGACCTTTTTGTTTAATGTGCAAACCAACAGACTCTCACTTTTCATTCCTAAAAAGGATATGTTAGGCTATGTTAATTTAAATTCTAAAATGCATTTTTTAAAATGTTTTTTAACCTGTCCCCCCTACCCGCACTCTTCAAATTGTGAATTGTCCTCATGAAAGCAACGCTCAGAAGGGATTAAATGAAGAGCACAAAGCTTCCTACATGTGCGTTCTGGCAATCTGGTTATTTCACACTGCAGGCTAACGCAAATTACAAGCTGGGGTACCTGCGTGTCCAAGTTAAATGTAGATTGTAATGATGCTGCAGAATTTAGCCACGTCTCCATTTGAGTTTCCATTAGCATGCCTTTTGTTTTGATGATGAAAACCAACCCATAAAACAACCCAACTACTATACATGTACAGTATTTTCAGTCAACAGAAAACTGTTTTTTCATCATATCACATTTTTCATGGAATAGTCCCTTTCTTTGCTGTAAAAATATATCACTGTACTTAATTTGTGTACTTAATTCAGTTACAGTTTGCTCTTCTTTTAATGCGGGTCCATGTCAATGTGCATGTCAGCTTTTAGCAGATTCATTATTTATATACTAAAACATGGAAGGTCTTAAGATTACTTAAAGAGAGTTTAAATTGAAGTAGAGTGTATGCTTGGTTATATGGGTGTGATTTGTGACATTAAGATAACATTATTTTATCCTAACCATAAAAATGCTATATTGCAGATTTGCATACTCATATATTGGCTCGTTGAGGTTTTAGTTTATTGCATGTGTTTGGGGGCTGCAGTTAAAGACCTTGTTACATATGCAGTGCATTTACTGAAACCCCTATCATGTAAGCTTATCTGTCAGTTTTTCAAAGAAAAACATTCAATTTGTGTGTTTCAGTAGGAATAGAAGAATAAAGTACAAACCACTTTGATTGTATCAATATGTGTTATCTTACCGTGGTTGTAACTCCAGGTAAACATGAGGTTAAGATGTTTGTTCTATATCTTAGGGACCAGTAAAATATCACAGAAGGTAAAAATAGACAAATGCTTGTAAACAGCTTTACTACCTATACTACAGAGAGGCATTTCATATACTGTAGTCTTAAGTACTGGAATGACTTACCCAGATAAAACAATTCTAAAACGATCAAAGCAGTCCAAAACCAAGAAAAAATTGAAATGAACTCATTAAAAAACTGATGAAGATGTCCACAATTGATTAATTCTGGCTCCGTAATGGTTATTTCGTAAACAAAACTGTTTTAGGTTAGTACTTTGATTAAAGGTGTCTCAGCCTAGTATTTTCTTTTTGCATGTGAATGGGTTTGAATTAATTTCTGTTTAGTGCATCTTGCAAAATCTTTTTTTTCTCTAATCCAAATCAGATATTGAACAAGCTTGGGGTTTTGGTACCTAGCCACATGTTTTCTGGGAGTCAGGAAACAAAGAGATTTCTTTGATGTCCAATTTTGCCATATAAAGTCTTGAAGGGTTTTAAGCTACATTCTTTTGGCACTAAATTAAAATGAGAGAAATTAAGAGTTGAGCTCATGTGTCTTTTGTGATGTCTTGTGCTGAACCCAAAGGTGTTGATGCATACAATCAGTCATCGCTGAGCCATGACACTTTCGTTGCATGACTGAAACTGTAAAGCCTGTTTCTCTTATTGTAAGCTCATTGCTTTGCACATGCAAATGCATAAGCTTGCTTTTTGTACATTGCATGCAGCCACCATTTATTTAAGTTGGTTTTTAGGAGATAACGCTAAGAGTTTGAGTGATTTTAGATGTGCAAAAACAGTACATAAACTCTTAACATGTTCAAGAAGCATATCTCAGAATTTCATATTATATACGACAATGCATATTTGAGTAAAAATACATTTTTTAGACTATGCCTCTAGAAAATCCACACTCAGTTAGGATCATTTGTGAGAAAGGCGCAGTGGG